TTCACTTTGTTTGCTTTTTTGGGTTTTTTTTTTTTTTTTTGTGTATGCCACCTGCAGGATCTTAAAATGTCTCTTTATAAACCACTTATCGCTGTACTGAAATGCAGCCCCTTTAGGATAGAAGGAATCATCCACTTTGCCCAAATACTCGTCATATCAAGCCTTTAAAAGCGTCAGGCTGAAAGGTGTACATGCCTTCTGTTTTGAGAGAGGGAAAAAAAAAAGTGGAGATATAAAAACGTAGAGCAACTGATTCCTGAGACAGTTCTCATAACCTGAAGATACCACCTTTGCACAGCTGTGTTTCTTCATATTTTAACTTTGCCTCCCTCTCCTGAGCATGTTTACCCTTGCTGTGAAAGCTGCAATCCCTGCTAATCACTCTTACTCTTTGGGGCTGTGGTGACACTAACAAGCCACTCACAACAACTTAAATTGTTGCTGGCATAATCAATGTTTTAAGCAAATATTGGTTTAAAGAACGTGCCTCTCCTGTTAGCGTTGTGGTTGTTGGAAAGAACAGTTGGTTATCTTTTAAATAGTGAACACTGCTGATATGCTCTCCTTCAAAATGTTACATTGATAACTGAGGAGTCAGAAGCCAAGTATCAGAATACAGTAGTGATCCACAGTTGGTAATGTTTTTTTAAAAGGATAATGTTTGCGGTGTAACTTAAAGGCAGAACAGGTTAAGTGCTCAGAAAGAAGCATATAATGATAGAAAAAAAAAAAAGCACAGGACTGACATACGTTTCTGAAAATTTGTGGCAGGCCTCACTGTCAAATTTAGCGTTGCTGCATGATCTGTCTTTTTTGGGAGAACAGTTGATCAAAAGACGTCTCCGCTCCAAACCTTCTTATTATCTGTTTAAGAGCCTCTTTGTTAAACAGTTAATGTATAACTAAGGCATTAGCACTTTATTTGGGCGAGCAGTGGAAAGAGAGACTGTTGGAGTAGTGTTTCTTGAGTGCATCTGGACTCTGCTGCAGCTCTACTGTTGCATGTTTTCCAGGTATGAGATACTTCTCAGAAGGGAAAGCGTGGTCCCTTGTTTAAGGCTGCATGTGAAAGTAAAGACTTCATGTTCTTGTCGATTCTGTACTTTGTCTTTAAAAGCTTATACCTTCCCAGCACAGATCTTAGTTAATGGTCTGTGGAAAACCTTCACAGTCCTTTACATGACAGGCAGCACACAGTCTAAAGCAAAGATTTCCTGCAGAACAGTAGAAAAAGCAGGGTTTGTGATCTGTGTTGAATTAGTTCAAATTTGTGAAATACAACTGGTATTAGAATCTTACTGGAAATACCAATTCTGTAAAGATTTCTAAAATTCTGATTATTTCCTAACAGCATGTTCTATGTCATGTGTATGTGTATTGGGATGGGGCGGGGGGGGGAAAACAAAGTGGATAAAAAAGGAGGTGGAAGACTGGAGGATACATTTGACTATTCTGAATGTTCACACCTAGTAAACTTGCGGTTTTGTGTAGCAGAAAACAATTTAAAGGTGGATTGGGTATGAACAGATGCAGCTGCAAGTCTGCAGGACTGTGAGTACTTCTAGTACTGGCCAGAACTTTCCCAGACTGTAGCAGTCTGTTTTCTTTACTGGTGCTGGGAAGGTGTCGATCAGCTCAGTTAATTCAGAGCCATGGAACACTATAAAACCCATCATCTTCAGATTGGGCTGTCTGTAAGCACCTGTGAAGTGCAAAAACAATGTAATTGTTGCATTAGGCACGTAGGTCTGCAGTAATGAACATAACAGAAATACTCCTCCACTCTGGATAAGAAGAGATTGTAAAACTGAAGGCATGGGATTTGCTAGAAAAACAGAACTTTCTTTCATCTTCATCCTAAAAATAAGAAAAGCGCTGAAGATGGCTAGCCAGGCTTCTTGCAGGATGAAAGACCAGTCTGTAAACACTTGAGGGACTTGCTAGGCACAGGAAGATGAAAGGGATCCCCTTAACAGCCTCCGTCAGCATTCCCAGACTGGCCTCCTTCTCTCTAGTTTTTTCTCCCTAGGGGTCTGCATCTTATCTTGCTGGCTTCCTTTTCTTTATTTGCCTCTGACTAATAGGCTTTGTCTTCTGGTTACTGGAAGTCTAATAATTTCTTTTGTCTCTTCCCCCTTCCTCCTTTTAAAAACACTAGATTAAATGGCTCCAGTGGTTTGTAGATTATCTGCATTGGTGACATGGATTAATTGTATACTTGACTCTAAGATATTCAGCAGTAATGACATAGTACCTTAACTTGAAACAATGGTAACTTCATGGTGACATCCATTAGCCAATGTTGCCTTCTGGTAAAGAGCCATCTGCAATTTACCCCCTGTAAACATATGACACTAGTAAATTGTCTGTGCTAGTTCTGTAGGAGTCTTCTGTACGGTAAGCTGTTTCAAGTGTCTTTTGAAACAGTCAGCTATCTATCGATCTATTTTTTATTTTACTTCATAGTGTGAGTCAAATAATTACAGTTCTGGCTGGAGCCTCCCCAAAGCAGGAATAGAAAACCCAAGAGTTCTAGATGGGCTCAGGTAGTTTGCTTGTACCTCGACGTCACCCTTCAGCGAAAAGGTTTTCTGGAAGTGTTCAGCTCTTGGCAACTGCCCGTCAGCGAGCAAGTCTGAGAGCCCTAGGGAAGATGGTAGCTGGCAAACCGAAAGGGAGCGCTCACATTTGTCCTTGCAAAAGTACCCTTTTTTTTTTTTTTTTTATTTTATGTCAATGTAAAGAAAACCCCTCTACTGCAGGTAGCTTTGGTGCGACAGCTTGGTGATATTTTTGCCTTCTGATCTCAGTGTTAACCAGAACAGAGAAAATAAGGCAACAAAAGGGAATCAGAGCTGCTTGACCAAAAGATGTTCAGGGAACGAACGCAATTAGACCCAGTATGTCTATATTTCACCTGCGTGTCTAGCGGAGCAGCTCTCTGGACAAGTGATCTGTATCTTGAAGGAAGGAGGGAATCCAGGTTTTAGGAATGGTTATTTACTTGCAGTGTTTTGCCACTGGAAGATCAATGGTTGAGAGACTAGTTAATCATTGGTGTTAAGAAACTCTTGTGGTAGTAGGAATGTTGTACAGAAACTAACAAAAATGTAAGTGATCAGACAGGCTTCCAGTAAAGAGAATGCTCTACGATAATCTTCTGGTGTCTCACAGACTGGTTATAAATGCTGTTCCTTCTGGGATGTCTGTTTTACAAGAGACAAAATTTATTTATAAATAGGTGAAGATGTTACTGTCAAGCTTTAGTCACTGATTCTGTTACACCCAAAGAGTCAGATGGCCAAAGACAGTATGACAGCCATAGTTATTTGTTGTCTCTCTTTTCCTGTTTAGTGAACATAGGTGTTTTTAGGCTGTGAGGATTATGTGGTCCTGAAAAATAACTAAGTCTTATTTTTGCATCCAAGCAATAGCGCAAAAAAAAAAAAAAGTGACAGTTCTTAGTTCTTACTCTGGATTTTTGTAACTTAATGCAACTTTTCCTTTTGCCACTTTGAAATATCTAATGTTGTCAGTCTCATGCTTTTGTCTTAAAATTGGAAGGGGAGGAGGAAAATCATGTTAACGCCTAATGATTATGGGAGACACACATGCTCAGCAATAGACTCAAGAACTGAAATGCTCACGCACTTGGTTTTGGGTATTTCCATTACAAATGAGTCTGTACAGAGAGTCTCAAACACTCTGATTCAGCATTTAAATATGATGGATGGTCCAGAAATGCCAAAGGTCTGATATACAAAATACATCAGCTTCAAGCAGAGTTATCTGTGTTTGGAGTCTACGGTTACAGCTCTTGTGAGACACAGGATAGACCTACCTGCGCAGCATGTCAGTTTTCTTAAACAACTAATTATCGAATGGAGTGAAAGATAAGTGAAAGTCTCTTAACCAAATATGCGTGTTGCCGCCAGGCTTCTAAAGGGGAGCCGAGGGCCTTTGTTCTAGCTGAAGACCCGAGTTCAGGTACTCCAAGGTTCTGCTTCTGTTCGAAGCTCTTGATATAGTTAACATCCAAATAAGACTGCGCTATTGTACAGCGTAAGGCGTTAGACTGTCGTTCCCTATAGCAGGGGAAGCAGGCCTCTCAAACCTGTAGCGAGAGCTGAGGGCTCTGCAGGTGTGGTTTTGTATATTTTTCTGCTTTAAAAACTGCAGTCAGAGTTCAGAAATCAAAACATACACTTTTAAAACACCTCAAGTTTTTGGCTCGCTTTAAGGCTTTCATTTAAAACAATTCCTTGCACATAACTTAAATGTTATTCCAATAGTTACGTGGTCAGCTGCTAGTGAAGTTCCTACACAACTGTGTGAAATGAAATATTCTTTTGGCTAGCAGCCTGTAAGCGATGCTACACTGACTAAAATGGCAAGCAGGGCTTCTGTAAACTCCTTATGAATATCTGTTGCCAGAACTGATCTTAAGAGGTGCTCTGGCTCTCGTCTGTAGGCTCGTACCTTCGCGGGCCTGTCGGGCTGCTCTGTGGGCCAAGGTCCTCCTGGCTGTTGAACTGTTCTGGAGGTGGGACGCTGCTAACCAGAGCTGGTAGGAGGACTTTCTTTTTTGTGTGATAAATGTAGCTTTCTTCATTGTTGGAAACTAAGAAATATAAAGTTACTCACTTACTACATCATGGATTTTTTTTTAAGCCTATCTTATTATAAGGGAAATCACTTGATATCTACCTAAATTATATTTAGTGGAACTGAATGTATGGTGAAGGTGCCTCAACCACTTCAGGGTGCGATCTGCTGGCTAAACTCAGTACAAAAGAAAATCCACGAACACTGAACTCTGTTTAAAAGTAAGTATTTTTTTTTTTAACTGCGCAGCAGAGCGTAGACTGAGGTGTTTTTTCAAAATTATTCTGGTTTGGCTACAGGATAGTTGCAGTTTTCTGTAGTTTATTCTTTGTCAATTCTACAAATTAATCTAAATGTTGTAGTACAGCAGTTTTCAGCTGCTTACAGTGTGATGCATCTGTGTCAAATATCTTGGGATGGTGGTTTCTGTTGCTTCCATAACTTGCAGCTCTGCTGTAGCAATGTGAATCGGGTGTATCTGAGCACAAAGTAGCTCTTCTCCTGCCATGGTGCTGCTCTGACTGTTCATAACACATACTGGAGTGCTGAAATGTCTATCATGCTGTGCAAAAGTTTTCTAATGAACCCTGGAAAAATGCGGATGTATTATTCTTTTACAATCTTCAGCACATTAAAGGAAAAAAATCAATAGATGATGACTTGCTTTTTCAAAGGTGCTGGACCTTGAGAGGTCTGTAGGCTTGGAGGGAGGGTCTGAGGGGAGAGAGGGAGGATCGATGCTTAGTTTTTAAAACGATGGAGGTTTTTGAAGCTGGTAGGACAGGGTTTGAGTTAGGTGTAGTAAAATGAAGTAGCTCGTTCATGTTGTTAAAGGATGTACTAGCTAGGAAATTGGATGGAGTCTGGTTTGGAGTTCTTGTTCCATCTTTGCTGAAAACTGCCGGCATAATCTTGAACGACCAAGTCGTCTGACTGCCGTGGTTTCCCCTCTGCCTGCTGTCTTGCTCATAACTTAAATCCACCTCTCAAAACAAGTTCTGCTGCTGTGTGAGCTGGTTCACTAACTTATTTACCTTATTTACTCCAGGAAGCACCTGGAGGCACCCTTCTAAGATTTCATCTATTTAGGAAACTGGACCAGTGGTTTTTCATCAAACTCTTCTTGGATTTGCTCTCTAAAAAGTACAGTAATCCTAGCAAATCATCACTTCCCTTCCTTTCCCAAAAAGGTGAAGTACATAATATTAAAGGATATATAACTTTTTAATGGGGCAAAGTGGAAAAGATAGTGAAAAGTAACCGGTCTGTAAAGTACTGCGTGGTTAGAGCATGTAAAAGAAAGGGAGGGATTCAAGGGAAACGTTGCATCTGTGTCTGCTGAAAAAGCTGCTTTGTGCGGTGTGCTTTCTATGAGCAAAATAAATAAAATGCCTTTA